AATTATCAGGTTCAACTTTTACCTGGTAATTACAAACTTCCATGCAATAGTCACACACTTCTATAGTCATATTTAGCTACATTTTCTGATTTATTTTATTTCAATAGCTTAACTATGTCAACTGAATATTGAATAAAAAAAGGAACTAGGATTTGCAATTAAGTCTACTATAACATGTGATAAGTTAGATTTAAGAGAGCATTCATCCTATATTTTCTGTTTCTTTTCAAAAGAATAGTTTCTTCCTTCTCTTAGAAGATATCAGTAATCGTTAAATCAATTTTACATTATCGTTGGTACATGAATAGCAATGTTTCTGCAAATTAACTTTTATTGTTGTTCCATCATTTATGCCAAAAGAGGTTTCCCGTATATTTGAACAAATTAAATCAAATCAAATTAAATTAAATTAAATTAAATTGACGGCCGACACTGCATTGTAAATAATACCGTGTATAACCAGCAAAATTTCATTACAATATATTACATCCAATAACTTTCATTATATTATATTACGCACACCACATCGCTATAGATATATCGTAACTTACTGCTGTAAATGGTCTCGTAGACTACTAATATTTATTATCACCTACGTATGTAAAGTTGTGACACACAACAAGAGCATCCGTCTCTTCTAAAATTATCACTAACGATAATATCTCCTCGAATTAATTCCCCTCCATTCTCCAGTCGTTTACTTTTCCCTGTTTACTCGAACAACAAATTAAATCAAAATTGCAATATCCAAGTAAACAATGGATCGACTGCACAACAGTGTGCCTTGTTCAAAATTTCGCGAATAATTCCGCGTATCTGGTAGTTTCGAATCTCGCCTCTCGTACCTACGTAATTGCGTTCGTACGCACGTATTCACAAACGAGCTTACTTCCGCGGGCATCCGGGCATTTTTAGGACGGTGCACCGTTTCTTGCGCTCCGCGAGAACGAATCTGTTTTTTTTTTTTCTTCTACTTTTCTTCTTTTTTCCAGCGAGCGAAACAAATCCGGGACGAGGCACGACGGAGAGAACAAACTACGAAAGAAGTTGCGGAAGCAAAACGCGGCAAATTATTAACGGTGGTGGTTTCGCGCGAGTGGAGAGTTTCACCCGCGTGAATTCGTCGTTTCCTCGGGAATCCCCGTGAAATGAAATAACCGCCGGTCTGTAAACTATGGTTCCATTTGCCAGAAACGCAGGCTGAGCTAACGCAGTTAGGAACGTCACATCATCGTGTCATTACGTTGTGTGTAGCCCAGCGAGAGAGAGAGAGAGAGAGAGAGAGAGAGAGAGAGAGAGAACAGACGCTGGCGCATGGCAGATAGCGCTGGATATTACGATCGTGACACGCTATACCCGGGCCGATACCCGGGCGAACACGCGCCGAATGTAACTACAACTTTCGGATAAACGTATTTACCGTTGGCAAATGTCGAGTTTGCGTTGAAAATCAGAGGAACCGAGGAACCTTCCCTCCCAACCCCATCGTCGTCCTAAGCCAATTTCGCTTGGCTTAGCGCGCTTTCTGCGAGAGAGAGAGAGAGAGAGAGAGAGAGAGCCACGCCGGTCGCCTCGATTTTCAAACCTTCTTTCCTCCCGTGGAATTTCAATATCTCTTTTCCGAAGGTTGCTTACAAAGGAAATCGACAAACATTGATAATCCAGAGGGACGTCAAAGCGAAAATATATTTACGAGGTAAAATCCGTTCGTTTCCGGTTTCGAACGGGGAACTCTACTCCCGTAGTTCGATGTTTTATTTATCGACTCGCAGTTTAATGGGCTCTGATAGCCAGGGCTGTCGAGATTTCGAAAATTTATTCAGGCAACAACCTCCGCGAGCGGAGGGGTCCCTCGCGGTCGCCGAGGGAAATTGTTTCGAAAAGAGACCGGCGAAACGTGTACAATTTGGCGAGCGCTGCTAGTTTCAATATTTATGAGTTAAGAGTTTATCCCCTTTAGAGGAGAGGACCTCTTTGAAAGTTGTGGCAACACCGACGGCGAATGGAAATAGAAAGAAGTTCGCCCGCCGCGTTTTGTTAACGTGGTGCATACGCGCGAGCAGTTTCGCGCGAACACTATTTTTCACTGGGAAATGGGACCGATGTTACATTATCGAATACACGTAACTTCACGCTCGGCTTTCTTGTGTGAAATTTTACACAATCCAATGGAAGCACAATGTAATACTCGTTACAACGAAACACAACAAACAGAAGCTTACTAACAATTTTCAAAACTTGCTCCGATAATAAGAACCGATGTTTGAATAATAAAAGTTATAATGATCCTACCTTAAGAGATAAAGGCTGAGATACAGAAAGAAGACGAAGAATAATAGTTAAATGAAAGAGACGGATGTTATTACAAGGCGTTAGAAATGACATCGAAGCAATTAAAAAATCGTGAAAAAAGATCTCATCTGTGTTGAACTTGTTGACTGACAAATAATACATTTATGAGATTGGATTCCCTACATAATACAGTATAGCACCGTGTTATTAGATGATCTGGTAATCTGTAGATTTTCGACAGTTTACCAGAATTTCAGGATAACTATTATCCAGACATTGCATACGATGTATCGATATTAATTGTTGAAAATATCCAGTTTACAGATTCGATCCATGTGTCTAGTGAGACTCATTCGATATCCAAATCTAAATAACTCTGACATGGAGATCTAATGACTGAACTTTAAATGGGAACGAACATGCAACAATTTAATAGCGTCGATGTTAGAACAAAACATTTAGACACTCTGTTAACGTGATCTAAACGTAATCGTTCGCAAGCTCGGTTACGTATATATATACGCGCGGTAAAAATTTTCCAGTCAAAAGATCAGGCTGCATTCGCGCGGTATTTATTAAACGGGAGATATTAAGCGGGAATTAATAAAACGATGGACAGAGAGGATCGAGAGGAGAGCATTGTAAAAAGTCGGACGAGCGGAATATTCGGTTCGGCGAGCTTTCGCTGTCGCGCAGATAGTAGTACACGTATAGCCGGTGTGACGGTACACAGGTGCTTTTTAAAACGGCGCGCGAGCGACCACGTTGTTAGCTGGCCGCAACAACATTTGCAAATTTGCCAGGGATCATTGTTTTCTGCAATACGTTTTTATCTGTCCACGGACGAGCCACGCCCGCACGAGTTAACGTTAGTTTCCACTTTTTGATTTCTCCGCGGCTCTCCGCGCCGCCGCTCTTTCCCTCTCGTTGCGCGCGTTTCCACGTTCCCGGCGTTTAGAGCTTTGGAGCGTCGTCCCTCTCCGCCCCCCAACCGGATCTACCAACTTTAACGAAAAAAATTTTATGACACGCGAGTCACTGGCGCGAGAACAAAATGTTTCGTGCATGCGACCAACTTGGCTACTTCAAAAAAGAACTGCTCCTGGATTTTTTAATTACGTTTACTGCTGGCTGGCTGGCTGGCCAGGCAACGTGACTTTTGGAATTACCGCGCTCCGTTCTCGAGTGGCAAAAGTGTTCACACTGGCGCACGTAATCCTCTTTTGGAGCTATTGCTTGGATCTACGGAGTAGCTGACTGCGAGCACTCGAAACGATCATTGTGACTCGAATTTAATGCATTATTTGATTTTTGTTATACATCTAAATTCAAATTTAGAAAGAATAAATCGGAGAACATCGTGATAATATACGAAGAAAGGTTGTTGAACGTACACTGTCACCTTACGTTCAACATATAATGTTCCATTTAAAAAAAAAATTGGATTGGTATTGAAATTTTCCCCGCTATATCAGATACCATGCCAAACAACTTTTGTTAATACTTAAAAGATATATTTCAGTGCATTCGGATGAAACAGACATTACAATCTTTCGATTAAATCGTAGAGAAAATTTCGGTGATAATGCGAAAATTATATTAACAAGAATTAACAAAACTATAAAGACACGCCGCGGTGAGAATAGATAGTGAGCAGTCGCGTGTAGTTGACCAGGGAAATAGGGAAATTCTAATTAACGTGAGATGAACGCGAGCATTTTACTCTCGATAAATCGCACGAGCGTGCACGCACTCGACAACAGAATGAACAGACGTACTACAAAGAATCAATGACAAAAAGTAATTAAACAGCAGAACAAGCAAATAATAGCAAGATATATCGCTGTTTTATTTTTCCGGGCTGGGCAATAAATTAAACGACGGATCAATTTCCTCGTCTATTTGCAATTAGTCTATTTTTTAGCACGTACTGAGTTCCAGCGCGAATCGATTGACTTTCGAATAAAAGGATTTACGGTAGCGAGCACTCTGCCTGCGGAAATTCGAAGAATAGCTTAACCACTTGAAGACCTCCATTGTATGCAAAATGTCTTTTATCTCGAGTTAACTTGGACATGTTGTACGGATTTAATTCACACGAAATCGCGTAGTCAAATATTTCCTTTCTGTTTTCCCGGCAACAGATCGAACTATTTGTTTCGATTTATTTTTTAAATAATCCTAAACATATTATTCGAAATTTGTAGTTTGGACGAAATCCGTGTAACAGATATTAATGGATTAGAAATCTTTGTTTTCAATACAAGTAATTGTACATGGAAGCTTGGAGTAGCCTTTAACTATTTAGGCGAAACCAGTGAAATAAGAATATTTTAACTATTTTTATTTTCTTACAGCTTCGTTGCTCTTTTTACTTCCTCCATCTCTTTCTTTCTCTTTTGCAGCGTTTTTAACCATTCTTTTACTCTTCGTCTTTCCTCCCCCTTTATTTTAAGTACTCTCTCTGTCTCCTCTATTGAACACATTACTCTCTTACTAAACTGACGATGGAAAAAAGAAAACAAATGATTTTTGTGAAACAAGTTCATCTTCAAGTGGTTAGATGGTATTTACGAAGCCGAGTTGCCTTCTTTTACAAGGACAGCTTCTGTTTGATCACGAGCTCAATGGACGAGAAGAGAAACGCTCTCTTATCGCGGCGCGTCTAAGCGTTTCAAAGTATATATATAAATTGTGCATCGACTTACCGTGCAACAGTATCGAGAAGAAGAAAATGCAGATCATCTTGGCCAGAGCAGGCGCCGCGCACCAAGCGCTCCCATTGCCACCATACCGTAAATCCACTCGTAGCGCCTTCACGGTCCATCGTTTCCGGTACATTTCGCGATACCAGCCTCAAAGTCGTGCCAGCTCGAGCGCAGCGATATATCTTCCCTGCCAACAATAAACAGAAATTCACTCGCAGCTCAGGATCGTTGCTGTCCGCGAATCTCCACGCTTTTATTATCCTTTTCATCCGTCGATACGTTTCTCTTGACCAACCAAAATCACTCGCATTTTCTACTTTTATTTGGATCAGTTTTATTAGGGCATTAGGTCGTTGCGTATGAAATAACCGATTTCAAGAACGAAGGCCAAACGATGATCAACCTATTCCGAGTTGTATCGATTCATTTTCTTTGCAATTCTCTTTCAATTTACAAAAGGCTATTTTCGGAGAAAAAATATAATCTGCCATTGAAGAAGTTAGATTCGGAAAAAATCAACAATGTTCAACTTAAAATAATTGTAAAATAATTATGATATCAATAATATTCTCAAAAAAAAAAGATAAACCAACTGAAGGCTAGAGATTTTATAAAAAAATTCGATCATTTCTCATTCGCAACAACCTGATTCGCCATTTTCATATCTCTCCTGCTCCGTTCTTACCGATTTTAATTTACACGAACAACCTTTTCAACGTGATTATTCCCGACATTGATTAACTACTAATTTGTTCATTTGCAAATCCTAGATAGCGTTACGCGCGTTCGTTAAGCTATTAAATTTATCCCTGTATTAATGGAAAATAAATGCTCTGCAATCGAATGTAATAATGGGCATTTGCGAACCGTGTAGATTACAGCAATATGTACAATAATAATATTTGTTACACAATTTGCAGACTGGCCAGAAGAGATGGAAGGACTGCCAATGCGTAAAACGGCGCGACAAACAATTTCACAATGTTTACAATTCCGATTATCTATTCGTGGATTTATTATCGGCCGGTTATTACATGGTAATAATCAGCTCGTTGTATGAACAAGCCGATTGACGTATCTGCGAGACCGGCCTGCACACGTAAATTGACCTCGAATACATATGTATAACTCCGTCGGCCAGATAATCGCTTAAAAGAGCGGTCGCTTTAAACGTACGCGAAAACTGTTTAGCCTTGTTTCAACGTTTTATAGCGATACGCATTTAACCAAAGCGCTTGTCATCGAAAATTTATCTCTTCCGATGTGGGAAAATTGGTAAACGCGCAACCGACCGAATTTCTGATGGACAGAAAAGAGCCTGCTTTCTCTTTATCTCTAATAATCCGATCAATTATTCAATCAAGCTCGAATCGAGATCAAGTGGAATCGCCGATTTTCAAACGATTTGTTAAATAACGAATTGTTTTGCATATCTACTTGGTCGTGCTTCAAAATAACACAATGTGAGTTTGTACATCTTATTGTCATCCAAATTATTATATATCTTGAAAGTCTTGAGAACTGCAATAAAGTTTGGTGATGTGATGAGTATTCGGTACCTTGCAAGCTAATATAAAATTATAAAACATAGCTATTAATGAAAATCGAGAAAATTCGAGTCATTAAATGCCCATATTCTGAAAACTTTCAAGATGATTAAATTTTTCAAGAGTTATCTTATCAAGATTCGATTTGTTTTCCGCTTGTCATCGAAAAATTTATCTCTTCGAATAGGAAAATTGGTAAACGCGTAACAGACAAATGTCAAATAATAGAAAAAGTAGTAGTAATTTATCTTCTCCCGCTTCTTTCCAAGTGATTATTCAATCAAAATCGAAATCGAAATTCTACGCGGCGTAGCGCTCTGACTAATCGCTACAACTTCGAGACGTCTGTCGAGATCACCTGATCGCATAATTGGCAGGATTAATCGCGTGCACGTGTTATACGAGGCTTGACGTATTAATTTTGCACCCCGGCCGTGGTACTGTGTAAATTTCGCTCAAAATTTCCGGCCGTCCTTCTACGACCGGAACTTGAAATCGAATTTGTTCATCAACATCGAATAAACAGCTACCGCTTCGAATTTACTACGGCCTGTTGATTCCGATCCCTCTTACTATATGAACATCAATAGCTATCGTTGCATGCGTCTCCTTTTGATCGATGAATGTGCCCGCTTCGTATTGCTTGACGAGCGAACAGTCAAAATGAATCGGCGTCGAAATAAAAATTGATTTTATTCAAATTGTGAATCTAAACTTGAACAACGAAATATATATATATATATATATATATTTGTCTACTATCGGTAGAATTTTATTCACGCTTCGCCATGTAGACCGCCATTTTTTTCTTTGTATGTCGTAAACGCGAAGAACGTAGTAAATCAAAAGCAGAGCGGCCCACAGAGGAGAAATTTCGAGGTTATAGTAGCGTTAGAAAATTTTAGGACGTCCATTTTAGAAAATGAAATTTTTATGACGACCTCAAAGCTGTTTCATTGCCGCCCCGATAAAAATAAAAAACAGAAATGTTCTCTATATAAAATATTACTACAGAAAACTTTTTACTCTAGCAGATTCAATAATAAGTTCGTGGTGATAATAATATATTTATATACAATTGTAACGTAACATAGCAATTAACATAATTAATATCTTTAAGAAAGAAAATGTATATCTGCAAATATGTCTTAACTTATATGGTGAATAATGAAAAATTATTCATAATATTATAATAATTATTATAATTAATGATATATGATAAATTATCATGGAACTGTTCATGAAAATACTTTTCTAACGTTTTTTTTACAATTCTCGAGAGAAAAGTATCCTTACTTTCCCACCCGATACATGATATAAAATCATTTTTTAAAGAAATCTCGGAACGTCAAAGATAAGACCAAGTGGATTTTTTAACGAGGTTACAGCAGTTGCAATTTTTCATCATTATCGGTTCAGTTACGCTCTTATATGCCACATTTGAAAAGATATTCGCTACGATCTTATTTGAAAGGTTAAGTAATCAAATTAATACGTACCAATCGTCTTTTTCATCAATCGTAACTGCACTTTCACTAAACTAGAAACTTCACAAAAGAACACCGTCTGAAATTTTTCCAACTAATCAAGATGGCGTTCTAATTATCCGGCGAGTGACTACTCTAGTCAAGAAATGGCGGGTAATTTTCGTGGAAATTGTGCACACGCAGATAGAAATTGTAACGCGTGCCCGTGTTTGATACAACGAATTATGACGAAAAACCGAGAAACTGACCAAACTGTTTTAAATATACATATGTACCGCGCTCAATGCGTTTCAGTTATGAGAAAAACATACCCCGTAGTTGTCAAAGCGACCCACGTCAACAGTTGACTCGCAGCTACCAATCAAACGCGTCTATTGGACCCGCGTCGAGATCACGTGACCTTTTCTTCTCCGTTGCACATCATCTAATCTCTTCCGAATCGTCTCGACGAAACTCGACGTAAAAACATTCATTCTCGCACCTCGCCGGATATTCGTCGTTTTGGAGGGATGACGCGTCACCTCGAATCTTCAGTTACCATTACGCTTACTCGACGAAACGCTCCACAAACGAGTTACTTGCACAATGTTTATCGCTACAACGCGTGTTCCGGAGCCACGCAATGGAACAAATAAGTTGAAAACCAGCCGCAAGTACGAGAGTGGGTAAGTACCACTAGAATAATAATTTGTCACGAAATAGTCGCGATATCGACGGTGTCATTGAAATTTTCAACCCGACTATGCAAAAGTTTTCCTTCGTTCATATCAGATCAATTGAAACGAACACTGGCACTTTGTCAAAATAGCGTTTAAACAATAGGTTACGCTGTAGTTGTTTTTTTCTTTTTTACAAATTTGTTCAGTTTTATTTATGAAAAAATGTTTGATCAATCACTGCACTGCCATTAATAAATCACGGATCCGGCTACGTGCAGTAGAAAAATTAGCTTACGTAATCACGGAACATAATCATGGTTTCCATATTCGTGCAAACCTAACCTTTTCGGTCGAATCTTGTCGACGATGTTCAAAAGAACTTTCCCGATCGCGAAATTGAACCCCGTTTTGTCGGTTTCGTTCGACGACGAATTAGTCGGATCGTTCACAACGATGTTGAAAGCAGGATGTCGGAATCGAATCGAATTTCCACGTGACCAGTCGACGCATCGTGCGCGACGACGTACTAACGGATCATCGAACTCGCGGCGGCTCGCGCAGTCGACGATCACCAGCGATGCTTCCGTTTTCCTTAAGTGCCACTCATTCGTCATTCAGCACGCACACTCCGTCCTTCGTGATACACATTTCGTCGCGTGTGTATACGCATGGCCGATACCGCGAACAGCGCCGGCACAGCGACTGAAACGGAATCGCCGCGCCACACGCCGGAACAACAGAGAGAGAGAGAGAGAGAGAGACAGATATAGAGCGTGAGCGTCGGCGGGTGGAAGGGAGGGAGGGAGAGAAAGAGAGTGAGTGGGACAGACACTGTTGGTTGGAAGGGAGAAAGGATAGGAGGGGTGTGAGTGAGTCAAAGTTGGGTGAAGGGAGAAAGGAGTTGGTAAGATGGATAGATAGATAAGTAGACGATCAAAAGGAGCAGGTGGGAGTGAGTAAGCGATGTTCAAAGAAAAAGAGTTAAGAAAAAAAAAATGTGGAGAAAGAAGAGAGAGAGAGAAAGAGAATGACCGAGATAGTTGCGTAAAGAGATCGGTGAGCGAAGTGCTGCCGTGCTGAAGACCGCGATCCAACTGCGCCCGCGCTTAGCCAGATATCAACCCCCAACCACCGGCGGCGTCGACTCTTACCACCTCTGCCTCCGCCTCCACCGCCGCCTCCACCGTTTGCCGCCGCGTTTCGCTCGCTCCACTCCGCTTCACTCTGCTCTACTCCGCTCTATTCCGCTCCACGTTGCTCCACGCTGCTCTACAATATTTCGCGCCCAACCGCGCGCTCCTACCACCATTGCCAGTGATTCCACACTGTTCCCTTGCTAACGCCAGCCAGCCAATATCGCTTCTATTATTATTGCAATGATCGACGCCTCGGCTATTATGACCGACGTCGTCGTGTCCGTCGCCTGTTAAATTCGATAGCGCGATTCCTCGTTGCGATCACGCATCCTTGCTCGCCCCGCGACTCGATATCGACAGCAACGTGATTCCATCGACCAGCAATCTCATCCGCGATATATGTACTTTCGATGTATACCCCGGAACGTGGCAATATCCAGAGCTTTCTTACTGTCGCGATCGTTTAATCGTTCGCCTTTGATTAATCATTCGGATTCTACACTGCGTCGAGATTTCTCGAGATTGAATCGAGCGAATCGAGCGAAACGAGATGACGGGATGAAGGGAGAATGATTTTTATCTTGAATGGGGACTTTTAGAAGATGTTTGTATAACGTATTAATTATGAAACGCAGGACGACATCTCAAAAATACGGATTAACATCGCGAGTTAAACGAGTCGCATTTCTATATATGCTTGTCATACGAAACTGCGAGCTGAAATCTGAAACGTTTTTATCGTTAATAGGCATCGTTAGACTGCGGATTTTCATGCATTTATGTAAGATTTAAAGGTGCAAAAATCCACAGGAAGCGTACGATATATAAAACTGTATAAAATATCCAAAGTAGGAAAGCGAATCTCTGCTGAAATTCTATATTTCAAAATACGGCCATGAAAATATAAAGCGTAAAAATACTGTAGATATTGTCGAGGAACTGTCCAAAAAACGAAGTTTTGCGAATGTTTTTCATTGATAATTATTAAGTAAGAAGTTCCAATATTTTTGAGGAATATGAATGCGAGCAATATTCGAAATAACTCGAATTTTCTGGCGTTTTCAATTTAAAAAAAAAAAAAAAAACAAAAATTAAATCGTAACGTTGGAAGTCGTATTTATGTATCTCGAAAAATTGCAACTCTTTATTTAATAATTACTTATGAAAGAAGTTTGCAAACTGCCGATTCAGAGTAGTCTATCTCTTTAACTGTAGATCATTAACCCGTCACGTCGTCTGACGTGATGTAAATGTATAACAAAAAGATAAATAGTTAAATTTGCAAACTCTCTTTTGTTAGCAATAAATAAATTAAAATTCCTATTTAATTATGTATAAAATTTACACAAATCCTACAAGTGTTTAATTTCATATCGTAATTATCTCTTAACGTAATCTTACCTTCTCCAGTTTCGTTTGATTTTTATTCATGCCAATTCTTCGAAAAACAATGTATGTTCAAGAGATTTCACACACATACTTCTATACAACATTTTATAAGAAAAATGTGTCAAATTAATGAGGAAAGATTATAAGAATTTTTCGATTAGAAAAATATATATTTTATTTCGTAGTTTGGTAAGCAAAAAAATGAATGATCACTTGCTCGTTAAACGTTAGTGACCTAAAGTTAACAGGAACTACTCCATGTTCTAGGATAAGCACATTGTTTCAGAATTTAATCTGTATTAGCACGATTAGAGCGATTATAGAGGCTCGCAAGACGATTGTCAGCTTGTTACCCATTGTTATCGTTCACCGCATTTTCGCCGCACATCCACCGCATAATACTCCAGATAACACGCTTCTGATATCGCTTTGATCGGAACATAGACTTTCATATCTGTCGGATTTATGCGCGTTCTTTTCCGCGGCTCTGAACGAAAAATTGAATTTCGAGCGAAAGCAGCCAGATGATATAGGTAAGGTTGCTCCAACCGTGATATTATATCCACTATATTTCAGGCCATTAAAATTTTCCTTTAATATCCACATTCCCTGAGTCTTTCGTTTGCCCTTACTTTTATACATTTATTCCGGTTGAAATTCCTCAATTTAAATTTTCATTGACGAACGCTTCGAGCCTCGGTTCTGTGGTATAGTGCGCCGGTCGAATCTATTTATCAACGTATTCTATTTGTCCCGATCGATACGTTTTACTAATTCGAAGAAAATTAAACGCGACTCGAATCGATATTTGCGGAATATCGAATCGGCCTCTCAGAACACCGTACCGTGTCCTTCGTTTAGAAATGAAATTTACGAACGGGCGAATCACCGGCCGAAAGGTTAGGGGGGAAACTTTCCTTTCAGCGAATCGAATTGAAAGGCTTCACAGCGGCACAACAATTTCGCCGTACGACAGAATAATTGGAGCCGGGTAACGTAACGAGTTTATCAAAGTTAATTTATGTCAACGATATACCAGGCTTTTTTCTATGCTTTGAATTTATTTGCGCGCTGCTTTTGTTAACGATATATTTTAATTAACAAACATCCCTTTTTGAAACGGAACCTTTGTGCTTTGGCAGGGGAAATCGATATCGAGCGTTAAGTTTTCGTTAGAAATTCGAATGAACAATGCACGACCCTTGACAACAGCGTGATCGTTAAAATTAAATAGCCTTGCGTTTATATTGCAATTTCGTTGTCTCTCGCAAAGGATCGATGGCTACACGAAAATATCTTTGTCAAAAAGGCAGCTTTGAATACCGTCCTTTTTGTTTGTTCCGCGCCAACGTGTCATATTCGAAACTTGTATAAGGAAACAAATGTACGAATAGATATATGTGTGCATAGGTGGTTCGAAGGATTTGGCGATTCGATTGAATGTTGTCCTGAACAGTGCAGAATGCATGCGCGAAATAAAGGAAAAACGAATTCCGGTTATGCGGTGATATTTGAATTATCGATCGAATAACTTTCTGCTTTTTGTGGGTAACTTGGGGTAAGTTTTATGGTTAGTTTAAAATTCCTCTACCGAATCGTGTCAACAGACATTTCTCAAAGATCGTGGCACGTGGCAAAACTCAGTTTCTTTTTTCTTTTTTCACGGTTATCGATCATCGTCGCGTCCAAAGAAATATTCGGTTGGCCTCGATACTTATTTACCATCAAACGCGTCGATTCCAAAGTCATAAATAGACCTGATTTTTGTACAAATTCATATTTTGATTTAAACTATGATTTAAAAAATAGAACTTTAATAGGAAATTATTTTATCTAGCAGCACTGTGCTTTGAATATTTTACAGGTATATTGTTTCATATTACATGCTATCATATTATTGCAATTTTGCCCTTTTACATTTTTCTGAATGCATGAAAATCCGCAGTCCATAAGCGCAAAATGCTGTTTAGAATATCCCGATCAATGCACGTATATATTTACATATGTACGTACATATGTGCTCACGTGCGATTTAATCCTTAAATACTGTGAACAATGAAACTTACTTAACTACAATAGAAGGCTGAATAAAGAGGATATTTGAAACTCTTGAATATGTGCGCGCAACTACTCTCCAAACTAAAATCACACGCCGCTGACAATAATTTTCCGATTAGATATAAATTTCCAAAAGTATTAAAGAAACATTAAAATCTTCGAGACACTTTTTTTTAGAATACAGGAGAATAATATTAGCGATTTTAAATCATCTGATCGGTAACTTTTTGTCAAAGCTGATACAAAGATTTGCACGTACACGAATCTCAAATAAAGACAAAAAAACGCATAATCATATCAAGATATACTTAACGAAAAAGTCAAAGATTTCAAGCAAGATCCACTCAAAATACAATACATAACAATACAAAATGCCATGAAATGGTACAAGATTTTTATCCATAAAAAACTCAGAACTGGATATTCCAGGACTATGCATGAATAAAAACGAACCTTTTTCTTGAATAACAAAATTTCGATAGCGCGTCTACTTGCTTTACATGCCGATACTAAAAAGTTCCAAGCATGATTGAACATTAAATATATTCAAAAATATGAAATAATAATGAGGGAAATAAAGATAAATAAAAATTAGGAAGTAATAAAATTTAAGGATTCTATAGTGTCAGTATTTTAATGGTGCCAGTTACTATTTAAAGAAATTGTAAATTCGTCGTGAAATGGATAGCACGTTTTAGATCTTGAAAAATCTTGTAATTCTTTTATTTATTTTTCTTTGGTACAGTTACATTTACTATGTTTTCTACCATGGAATGGTGTTCAGGGCAATCCTTTATGATATTTTCAATTGAAATTTGGAAACGCTGTAAACGATGTTTAAACGTAGTCTAAATTCTTTATATCGAACGCGTAAAAGTATATTTTTATTAGCAAGACTGAGGATACTCGAATATTTATAACAGCATAGTTTTTTGGTAGTTGGATGTCATAATAATTCTTCGTGCGTTTCCGTTGCGCGTGTACGAAAAGTAGGCTATCCCTTTAATAATTCCTTAAAACGGTGCTCATTACTTTGCGATGACCTCGTTTAACCATAAAGGATATTTCATAGTTTCCTTCCTCGAGTTCTTGTTCGCATACATTTTCAGAAAGCGTAGCTCTCTCAGCGAATGAACATATATTCCGCTGCAAACTCCACCCGTGAAAGTTAACTTTTTCTTTTGCGTTATTAACAACTTTTGCAGATCGCTTAATTTATACGAAACATTCTGCACGTCGTTTCAACCTACGTTTATGATAATCACGACAACCACTCCAGACGACGTAGGAATTAATATTTTACACTAAATATTAATTATCTGGCTATAATTGCACAATCCGTCTTTATACTTAGCTAAATTATTTTTCGCTTCTTAGAAGTTGTATTTTATTCCTTTCACAAGTTGACCATATTGAATACGACGGTATTATAAAGTGACATGATATTATCATAATCCTTGAACTAACAACAAAATTTAATGTTTAAATTAACAACAC